GGCCTTAATAACAATTGTTAGTCATATGAACAAAAAAAAGGGAAATGAAATTTATACCAGTTATCACAGTGATGTGATGAAAACCGCAATAAATACAGATAAAAAACGAAAACACAGAATTCTAACAAACTTGAGGGACTAAAACCAAAATTTATTATCGGATCTATAAATTGAATCGAATGGATTGACCCGTCTTATCTTTCTCTTTTGGTCAAATTGTATGAAAAAAGGTAACGTACTTTAACTTGATTCTTGTTTTARGTAACGTACTTTTAAAACTTTCATTTTAGTACATAAGATGTAAAGTTTTAAACATTTAAGTACTCGGGTAACCGGTTGAAGAGTAATTTTAGATATAAAAAAATTTCACCACTGGTGTTACAGAGGTATGCTATTAGACTTATTGAAGATAACATACAACTGAATCGATTTAACTTTACATATATGAATAGGGATTATCTCTGTTGGCCCTAAATTTTTCATTTTGATTAATTAGATTGGCTAGCTAAACATATAAAAAACATCAGATGGCTACWGAGTTATATAAAAAAATCTTTATCGACGAAATGAAACAGTGGATCTGATTTATTAAAATTTGAGGTCTRAATTGATCGTCACAATCGACAAAAWGTTATCAACTGTGGATCCAAAATCTATTCAATTTTTTAACMTGTTTGACTCAAACAAACATAAAAGGTACAAAATCAGAAAAACGTAGCAGTAGATATTTACCTAGATCCTACATATCGTTGGTGTGGAAGGGGTGTYTGGCGTCTTTGATTCGTCATTTATGTTGGTTTCTCGCACAACTTAATTCACCACGTTGATTTCTAGATCTCGATCTTATGAAGTTAGAGCAACTTTGCTATCCCTTTTAGCGGATTGACTCTTCGAGCAACTAACGGCGAGAAACGAGGCGTGTCTGCAGAAGAAATAATCCTATATATGGAGAAGGGTTGGGGTATTCAGACTTAGTTCACATTGAGAAATTACGAAATTGTACATCGTCACGTGGATTGCACAGAACCTCCTCAGTCAGTTTTATTTTATTAATTTTTAACACATAATATTCCATTTTCATAACGTATGTAGATAAGCATATGGTATCTATTAGGTAGCGTTTGGTACGCAGACATGATTTGGACAGGACAGTACTGGACAAGACAAGAGGATATGACTGAACAGGACAGTATTGGACAAAACAAGTGTTTGTCTAGTATTTGATACGAGTAGGACTGAACATGACAGAACTACATTAGTTGCTCCCAAAAGTTATTTTATGATTTTATATATAATGTAATAGTTATAGCTAACATAAATAAAGTAAACAATTTATTTTATAAATATTTTTACACAATTTTCATATACTTGAATATAAAATAGTACCAAATTTGAATGAAAGTTTTTATATAATTGATGGTATTTTGAAAAAACCTGATTCATACAAAGGAGAAATTATGTTTTATTCGGTTTGGAAGATCCTTATCAATTGGTGAAGGCACGATAAAGATTGTTGCAACATCAATGGTTGTTGAGGTAGTAACATTGGTAATTGGTGGACGATAGTGGTTGTRGAGAACGTGAAGATGGTGGATRATGGTGGTGATGACAGTTGATAGTGGTGGGGGAAGTAGTTGTAGCCTATGTGGTTGGAGGTAGGTGTGATGGTGGTTATGGTGGCGGTGGTGGTGGTGGCGATGGCCAACGATACTATGGTGGTGGAGATGGACGATTGTGGTTGTGGAGGACATAAATATGGTAGATAGTGGTAGTGGTAACTAATAGTCGTGGCCGACGGTGGTAGTGGTAGCCGGTGGTGTGGGTAGGAAGTGGTGGTGGTAGCCAATGGTGGTGGTTATGGTGGAGGTGAGGTGGCCCATGGTGGTGGTTATGGTGGAGGTGAGGTGGCCCATGGTGGTGGAGAAGATTGTAGTAGAATAGAAGGTCGAGGTGGCCAACGATGGTAGTGGTGGTGACAATGGACGGTGGTGGTGAGTGGCCGACCATTGTTGTGGAGATGGGAGGAGGTTGTTGTAGTAGAAGAGAAGGTGGAGCTGGGCAACTATGGTAGTGGCAATGAACGATGGTGGTAGGTGGCCGATGGTGGTTGTGGAGGTGTTGATAGACGTGGTAGTCGATGGTGGTTGTGGAGGTGATGGAGGAGGGGGAGGTCGCCGACTGGCGACGACYGCAACTAGCGGTAGTGACTACTAAAACAAATACCATGTTAATGTTATATATCAAACGWKGGTKRGTTAGTAAKATTCTAGTTTACCTCTCATTCTTGTCCCATCTTGTTCGGTTGTTCCACCTATTTCGGTTGAACAAGAAAAAAYYTTTTTTGTCCCACGGTGTCCCACTTTGTCCCARTTTTTGTCTMTGTCCCATGTCGTATCAAATGTRGGACAGTRAGTTCTTATCTTGTCCATTTAGTACACTTTGAATCTTTGTCTTGAAATATTAGTTGGTGAAACATTTGGTTGTTGAAGAATTCAATATCTAGAATTTAGATATTGATAAATCCATGGAGAGAAAATGTTAGAATTCCAACSACAAGGGTGGTGTCTGATTGRTTTTAGCTTAGCTCMAAAGGTCAAAAATACCAGGAGATCCCAGGTTCAAATCCAAGAAGRAATAAAAATCCCCTTATGGCCACGAAGGTTCAAAWGCGGTGACTATGGGCTATCTGCAAAGCAGGTGGTTTGCCCTATGATTAGTCGGCTCGCATAACGGGTTGGATATCCAGGTTAATAAAAAAAATGTTAGAATTCCATACTTTGTGAAACTGGTTTTTTTTTCCTTTCAGTTATGTACRTTGTGTTTTYATGTCCTATTTTAAGTTGAAAAAACATGTATTTTAACTAATTACATATAACTTGTAACCCATGAGTAAACTCGACCCGATTTATAAAGCAAGTAGAAACAAGTCATTAAGCTCGCAAAAATCGAGTTTGGTTTGCTATATAAGGCCCGTTATACCCAAAAAAAAAAATAGATAGAGCCTAATTTACTATAGTTTGCAAGCTATATTGTTTCGTTTTACTATAGTTTTCTAATTTACTATATCGATCCATAGAGGTTATAGTTTGCAGGCGTGAGCCAATATAGTAGATCAGACGATATCGAGTTATCAAACCTACAGTAAAAACGAGGCTAATATTGTAAATCAGGCCGGATCAGAACTAATCAAGCCAGTATAGCTTACAAGCTTGGACCAATATAGTTAAACCACACTTCTCAAATGGATTTGAAATTCAGTACCATTCCAATATCATGTATCATTTGAAATCACACGATTTCACAGGACTTGTATATAATAATATTTAAAATAAAATAAAAAACTTTTGTTTTTTAATAATCAATTAATAAAAAGATAACTTACTTATTTTTATAGTTTTTTTTACAAATTATTTAATAAAAAGATGAAATTTAATTCCATTTGAAATCATACAAAATAGAAAACTATAAAAGATGAAAGTAATATTTGGAAATTTGACTTTTGATTCTCCATTCTGGAGATGCTCTAAAAAGCTTACAAATATTTTTCTGCACGTGTAAAATGACGTTATCACAAAAAAAAAAACCCCCACATCAGATCTTCCTAAAAGTTTGTTCCACCATCTCAATGGTACAAGAATCAACTCTAGTACGTAACACTCCAAACCCAAAACAACATCTAGTCCAATACCATTCAATTCAATTTAAAACGATGATGAAAGTTACCGATAGAACACAACTCTAAGCTTATAAGATCTCACAAATTTACTTTTTTACCCATGTAGGACTTACTAAATCCTAGCTTGAGATGGGGTCTAGGAAGAATGAGATGTTTGCAGAACTGACCTCTACTACGAGTCAAGAGCAGTTGTTGTTGTTCACCCAACCAAACAAAAGTCCTTGCACTAAATCTATTACCCTAACCAACGGTCAATGGTTAACCCAATGTTCATTGTCTATTCAAAAACTTGTCCAACAAAAAAGTGGTTTGTGTTCGAAAAGACATAGCAAACTTAGAACCTGAATTTGAATAAGGAAATTGACCAAACTAGCCATTTCACTCGACCAAATTCATTTTCTAGCCAATTTCCCATCAAAGTTTCCAAAATATCATCGATTCCGGTGGGCAGCCACATTACCCAAGAATTCAAAATTTGGGTCAAACTTGAGGAGCCAAATGAGCCACTTGAGAAGCCAAACAAGCCAATTGCCCAATGACCTCTTTTTGTTTTTTCAATTATTTCTAATAGGAAAACGAACATTCCGCAAGCCAAGTGCTTTACCAACAGTGGAATTGATGATATTTTGGAAACTTCGATAAAAAAGGGCTAGAAAATGAATTGTGTCGAGTAAAATGGTTATATTTGTTAATTTCCCATCTGAATAAATGGGGATCAAACAAGATATAAGATAGTTGAATAGCATCATCCCTCAAAGAAAGTAATCATACAACAAAATAAGCAACAACCTAACTCATGGCAAACAAAATTGGATAACTTTTTGAAACCTGAAAAAAGTCTTAAAAATGCAAAGAAAAAAACAATCATATGATTCATCTTCTCCCTGCAATCTTTAGTAAAGGAGAAATGATACCTTGGATTTCTTGCAAAGATTGTTGGATTCTTATCTCCTCCATCACCGATCTCTTTAGATTTCGGATGTGGGATTTTAATTCCTCTGAACCAGTAATATCATCAGCTCGGCTTTCGACTACTTTCTTTGCAAATGCTATTAACACACCAGCATACCTTGGCATTGTGGAGTACCTCTGCAAGAAACCCAACAACAATCCAAGCTCATCCACCCCCAAATTCGAAACACATTTCAATAGTTTCTTTCTAGACACCAATTCCTCCATCACTGCCACTATGTTTTCGGGATTTTTTGCTCTTAATGCTGACACCAAAGCCTCTTTGTGATGAAATTTCTTCAACAACTTGTCATGTTCAGCAAGTTTCACCTTTTTCGATCTCATGATCAAGAAATCCCCTTTTGAAGGCTTCTCACTTTGGCCACGATGAAAGTACCGGAAATATGATGGTCTTAAGACCCTCTTCTCGGGTTCATCTATAGCTCCAAAACCAACGTATTTCCCCCATTCAGATTTCACAGATCCAACAGTTTCTTCGGTTTTCCTCTTCCCTGCATAAAGAATCCCATTTGAAGTACCAATTACCCTAGTGGAACAATCTGGTGAGAATGCCACTGACATAAGAGAAGATGGAAACCTTATCGAACTTGTGATCTTTAATTTCGAGTAATCGAATACTTTCAAATACCCATCTAATGAAACACTCAAAATTCGATATTGATTAGTGAAATCCCCACTATCTTGCCCTATTTTCCCAACAGTTAGTGAAGTCACAGTCTTGTTATGGCTTTCCATCGAATGTAGCAGCTTACCACCACCAATCACATCCCAAATTTTCACACTATTTCCACCTGCGGTGGCGATTAAACCACCAGATGGTAAGTAAATTACATCCTCCACCGGTGAACCGTGGTTGATGTTCAACATTGATGTATCGCTTGAAACCCTAACGTCCCAAACCCTAACGGAATGATCATACGATCCCGTGATAAACATGTCATCACTGACCGGAGATCCATCGCCACACCGGACATAATCCTTATGACCGATGAGGTTATGAATCGAAATCTCCGACGAAACATCCCAATACTTAACCACGGCATCATCGCCGCCGGAGAAGAGATGGAGCTTGTCAACGCGAGGGTAACTGACAAAATGAACTGGACGCGAGTGGCCACGGAGGCGTCTGAGTGCAGATCTCTTCTTGATGTCGAACACCTGGATCAAACCTGAGTACGAACCAGCGGCTAACAGTTGGCCATCAGATCGGAAACAAGCAGAGGTAGCGGTGTCTTTGAAGGCGGCGATAGTTGATTTAGGCTCTAGAGTTTGCGAGGAAAATACAGTTACGGTGGCGGAGTGGGTGGCGGCGAAATCATGTGGAGCTGTCGGGGAAAATGCAAGTGAAGTTATGGATGAAACTAGGGTTTGGGTTTGTTTGGGTTTGAATGATTTCCAGTATTTTGATTCTGGAGTTGGTGTGGATTTGTTTGTAGTCGGTTTGAGCTTTGGTTTCACTGCAAACGTCTTGACGATTGCTTCCGACCGATCATCGACCGCCATTGGAGGAGAGAAAGGAAGACGCAGGTTCTTGATTTTAGGGTTTAGGGTTTTTGGTCCTTTGTTTTTTCAATTGTTTATATACTCGTCACTTTGACCCTCTTGCTATTTTAGACACCATTCTTTAATAAATTATAGTTTGGCCACTAACCAAACATAACAAGCTGAACCCAATAAAGTGAAATCGACAAAAATAATTCCATAAAGCGAATAATTAAGATATCTATATCTATACTATATTATAAAGCATTTGACAAAAATTCTTAAAAACCATTTATTATATTATACATGAAGTATTATATATTTATATATATTATTTAAAATTTAAGATTACAAGTAAATTGTGCGTAAGTACAACTTATTAAACCTTCATGTTAGAATTCGTATAACTAACAGCGGATAAACATAATCAAATACAGGATAAACATCTCATTTTAAATATAAAAAAAATCTAAAATATAATTAGGATAATCATTGAGTTCTAATATAAACATTATCTTTATAAAATTTTATTGTTAAGCCAAAAATTAATTACTTCACTAAATCGTAAAATATTGTCTTTCTCAAAACCACATAAATCATAGTATATTAACATAGACAAAAAAAAAATAAAAACGAAACATTAAAATGAAGATATATCTTGTTGTATTATGCGAGTATTCTTCTAGTTAATTAATATGATTGAACAAAAAATACCCAGATCTCATTTCGAAGATATTAACGAGACGATTATAATGGTAAAATTTATAAAAAAGATAAACACATTTTTTAAATGTATTTTAGTTAATATATGGTTTAAATATGTTAATGTGATAAAGGTGTAAGATAAAAAATGAAAAAAATAAAGGTATAAAGTAAACTAAAGAGCAAACTACAAATTTGGTCCCTGTGGTTTGTTGTTTGTAACATTTTTTGTCCTTATAGTTTGAAATTACAAATTTGCCATGTGGTATGCAAAAACAACCGGATTTGGTCCTTGGTTGTATCGACCATTTAGAAGAACCCGTTAAGTGATATTTTGGTCTTTTTTACATTTAATCACAATTTTATTTAAAAAATAAATAAACATGTAAATTAGAAGGACGAAGATTGTAACTTAAATAATATATATAGCTGACACCTCTCGCCCCCTACTCCTGCCCCCTTCTCGATCCCTTTCTCCAGCGCATTCCCTCAGATGAACCCCTTCCCCCAAACCGGTGACCATCTCGAAATCCAACACTATGTGAGGTGATCACCGCCTCCTTCTTCACCATCGACCACAAGTCATCACCGACTCCCTCTGCTCCAGGAGTCACAAATGATCATCGTCTCTCTCTACTCAAGCTTTGTTCACTCCCCCCTCCTAGTTCTGTGACACGAACGTGATTGTGACTTTTCCAACAAAGACCCCAGATCATGGGCTCCCCACCCCTAACCCGTTCCCTCCATCCTCCATCTTCGGCAAACCCCATTGCACATGCCACAAAATATCGAGCTCCCACCCCACTCCATACCTTCCCTATCTCCGGCGAACACCACAAAGAAAGCAACAAATCTCGAGCACCACCCACCCCCCACGACACAGGGCTGCAAATCCCCACAGATGTTGATCGATCACACCTTGCTCAATGATCTTCAGAACCGAGGGTTTGTTTTAGGCTTTTAGAGCCTTATTTGATATCTAGATTTTGATTTTATGGTATGAGTTGTCTCTTGATTTACAGTTTGATTCGTATGTGATTTAGGGTTTAAGTTTGTATCTTGATTTTTGGATGTTCTTCAATTTTTTGGAATGTGGTTGATTTTTGTTCAAGGCATCTAAATTTTTGAAATATTCTTGTTCAATTTTTTGGAAAGAGTAGTATCTGAATTTCTTTTGTCGATGTCGCGGTGGTGGTGGTGGCCTGGTGGGTGGTTGTAAACAKTGGAGACTAATCGGAGTTTACGAGCCGAAGAAAAATGTTTCACAAAGAGGTGAATGAATTATGTTRTCATTAAAACARYATTATATRGAACACTTRGCACAATATTAWTTGACCATATAAAAAGATKTTTGATATTTAATAGAAAATGAGATAAAAATCTAAAAAGACTAAAATGCCCTTCATGTAACCGATTCTTTTAATAATCATTAGAGTAAGGGACCAAATGCCGTCATTTTTGCATACCAAAATAACACATCTCTATGTTTGACACCATAGGGGCCAAAAGTGTTACAAATAAAAAACCACAAGGACCAAAAGTGTTACAAACAAAAACCCACATGGACCAAAAGTGAAAAAGTGTTTAATTCACTATATATAAATATTGTATATTTGTTTGTTTTACATATGTGTGAGTGTGAATATGTTGGACTTCCAGTTTTTGCTCGACAATCAGAATTTCAAAAACAGAAACCAAATCAAACCAGAAGGTTTAAATTAGGGTCCGTTTACCAAACACTTATTCAATAAGCGTTTACCTGAAAAATTCAATACTATTACATATTTACCGGGTAAGATTTTAGTCCACCAAAACGGTATCATATGCAACAATTTACCTGGTAAAAACTAACCATGGCAAATCTCTTTACCTTCACTTATCAAGTAAGACTATCGGTTATTGTCTTTGCTCTTACCAGGTAAAATTCTTATTCATCCGGTAAGATAGTGTGACTTGGTAAATGCTTATCCGGATAAGCGTTCAGTAAACGGCCATTTATCAAATGCTTACTATTATATTTGCATATAACAAGAACCTAAAATCTTACGCGGTAAGAGGTATAACAAGGATCGAGAATCTTACCCGACAAAGTGATGGAGAAGTCTTACCAGCCAATCCATTTTGATGGCCGATAATGTTACCCGATAAGATATGTTTTACCAAACGATCCATTTGGATTTTGAATTTAAATACGAAAACATCTATTGCTGAGCGGAATATCATTCACGACCACAGGTAAGAACCAGAGTATAAATACATATAGAAAAGAATGTGCATAAAAACGCGTATGGGTAAACCTGACCGACCCAGACGACATTCACGAACCTCTTTCACCAAACCATCGAAATGTTGCAAAATCAAAGCCAATTGGTTCAAGAGACGATCAATGATACTGCACAAAGTGTCAAATGGGGTCAAGCGGATGCAGCCATGGAGTCGATTAGGATCTGATAACCTTCGGGAATGGTTGCTTGAGCATGGACACAACCTGCCAAAGCTGGCACGTCGGAGTTCACATCAAGATACCTGGCTAGCAAAAGAAGTAGATGGAAGTCGGATATTCGCTTCACAAACGGGAAATTTTTTGTACGATCCAAATGGTTCTTCAAGTTTCTCATTGTCACCATTGTATTCCGATTCTCAACTGGAAACGTTGATGATAATGGACCCTGCAAATCCAATAATTAATATATGAGAATAAACACACTACGATATTGAATTATCGACATTCAACTCAAGATGATCAGTTAACAATAATGTAAAACATCTCCAATG